CTTACCAAGGCGGAAAGCCACAGTTCTTTCGAGAGAGAGAGCGAGCCAGAGCGTAAGACAGCTTTGTATTCCTTTTAAACAGGCTCGATGTTGGTCCATCACATACGCAATTGTCTAATCCGATGGTGGCTGCGGGGCTTAGCCACGCCCTGTGTGGTTCCTTTTTTTTCATGCACAAGTCACATGCTCCTGTGGGGCGTACTTCTGCAGGTTTTAATAACTTCTTATAAACATATCATCACCGGAAAATGAAACAGAATATACAATTTTCACTAACACCAATGTTCGGCGAATAAAACAAACTTTCATTCAAGCTCAATATCGGATAGTTTGCATCCACATTAATAATCTTAATTACTAAAAGGTGTTTATACACATTGGTTAAACTTGCACCGATTACAGGAAACACATCACACATCATCAGACATAAACATATTATTTGTGAATATATTGCTCCGATCATTTTCACTAACACCAATGTTCGGCGAATAAAACAAACTTTCATTCAAGCTCAATATCGGATAGTTTGCATTCACATTAATAATCTTAATTACTAAAAGGTGTTTATACACATTGGTTAAACTTGCACCGATTACAGGAAAAGCTTTGTTGTCTCCTGATTGAATTAATTCGAAGCCTCATGATGAGTCGATTCAAGACTGACAGGAAATCGCCCCCGAATCTTGGAGTCATGTGCTGGGATGATTCCATGGCATATCAGTGTCTGTTATGGATAGAAATCCCTACAAATGTAAGTGTACTGATAATTACAAACCAGTTTATATGTTGTGTTGATATACCTTATATTATAATTTCATTCATTAATTTACTTTGAAGGATTGTTGTCTGGATTTTAAAGCCTATGGAGCTTTTTTTTGTTTGTTGTTGATGACTTCCTGTAGAAGAAAGGTTTTGACATTTGAGCACCTGAAAAGAGGAAGGCCTACTGGACTACATGTATTCAATCCACTGTTAAAAGTAAGGAAGAAGAAGAGCAAGCCAGAAGGCAAAAGCACATGCTAGAATTAAAACTCCTCTTCTTCTGGAGCATTACCGGTTCTGGGATCTGTTTCCAGATTGTTTTTTTCTATTTTTGTTCACCTTTGGCCTTTCATCTCTTTGTTTGTTTAAGAACTGTGTCGACTATTCTTCACGGACAATGTCTTTATCGGACTACCTGTTTAAGGATTGACATTCAGTTAAATGTTGTTTTTTTGATTGAAGATTTTGATATTATACCTGTTATTCTGCATATTCCTGACTTTTTATGTTTACCCTTTATGGGAGAAGCATTGATATAATTTATTTTCAAAAAACAATCAGAGTTTTCCTAATGTTGTTGTAACTGTTGTTAAACTGATGTTTGAAGGCCTTAATTTTTTCTCTCTTGATCTCAACCTCCATGAGCCTTTAGATCAGGGGTGTCCGGTCCAACAGATCAAACAGAAGCAGCTCATTAAGATCTTCAGGAGCTCTTGATCCTCACAGACAGCAGGGCTGGAGCTGAAGTCTGCAGAGAGCTCTAGACTGGGCAGCCCTGCTTTTAATCTCGCTTTCATGGAATATTTAATGAAGTTGGAGGTATAAAGTTAAATATTATCTGCCTCCCAGTAAACACATTACAGTAGTTAAGAAATGTCATTCATGTGAAGGATTCAATTAAGTATGAATGTATATTTAAAACCTTATGAAAAACAAAACCTAAAAATATCTACAGTTCATTTGAGGTCTTTATGCTGTTACCAGTAACGTTATCTTTGTATCCTTCTTGTGCTCTTTATGGACTTATTCATCCATTTTTCAAACTGCTTGTCCTTTGTTAATCAGAAATTTGCTCTTAACGAGTCAACATTGACAGTGACTTGAACTAATCTTCAAAGGAAGATATTTAAGAATAGGATTTAAGTGGGCATTGAGTATTTAAAAAAATATAATACTTCTGCTTAATTAATATGTCATTGGACTGAGAGTATTTAACAGAAAATATTGAATGCACTTTTTCATTTTGTCTGAATGATCGTCTACAAACCTCTCCACAGCTTTATCTCAAGAAGCATTAGGGACAGTTGGACATTAGAGTGTAGAGCGATAGTACATCAGCACGCAAACAACACGACTCACCTCTGCCACTGTTGTAGACTCGTAAACCTCTTTACTGTAGTTCCAGCCGTTCACACAGGACTCGACCTCGATCTCGCTGACATTGACCTCCACATTTGGGGTGTAGTTAAGCGCGGAAAAATTCCTCACTGTTTCCATTTTGTATCTGGAGCAGGAACTGCGTTTTAAAACCCCGTCTTGCATCACCACTGGGATGGCAGCTTCTCTCCACATGTCACTGATGTTGTACTCCTCAGGAATCAGACACTCGTGAGATGGCGTGTCACCCACAAAAACTATGTAGAGGCCCACAAAACCATTTAGAAGGATACTTATAGCTAATGCAAAGAAAACAGTCAGCTGGAATGGACCCCATGTTCCCAGAAAATCACTGATATCATCATAGTCCCTAATTTTTTAACCAAACCATCAAGTTTCTCATTTGCAATGACCTCTTGTTTTATCATTCAGTTTTGCGCATGCTTGTAACACGCCAATCTGAAATATAATATTTATGATACACTTTGACAAGGTTCCCCTCATTGGCTGTTTAAAGTTCACTTGCTGACCAAGGGATCCTTTATCAAACATTACATCAGTTAATGATCTTTGAATCGTAAGAAATGAGCAACTCGGGGACCTTTGTAATTTCATGAGTGGAATAGAGAGGGAAAAAATCCAAGTGTTCCTTTCTGTGGCTGCCCAGCTAACAAAAAAAGGTCCCCAGGACGTCCTCTAAATGGCCTCTGAGAACGTTCCCCGGACGTCAGCATGTAGGCTCCCCTTGACGTCGAGCGGACGTTCGCGAAGACGTCCTCTGAGCGTTCACGGGGACGTTCACAGGACGGTCAGCGGCCACTCGGGACGTTTAGGGGACTTTCGCTTTAAGTCCTGGAATGTCATTTTATTTTACTTTTAGGCTAATCAAAGAAAATAGACACGTGCAAATAGTTGGAACATATATATTTTATTTAAACAATTTAAATGTTTTTTCCCCTTTTTTTATTAGACGTTAAGAAATAAAAGATATATACAACTATAACAAAACATCAGAATATAGTATATGTAAAGAGAATAAATGGGCTTGCAAGAAAAATAAAATGAATGTATAATTAAGCAAAAATAAAGAGAAGAATTACATCTAAAGAGCAATGCTACAAAAACAACATACAGATTTTAAATTACATATAATTCTTTAATAAATAAAAAATGTGGGGTTTTTTTTCCGGGCGTGGGTGGGTCAAGCAAAGCAGCTGTGTCTGTGCATTATTCCGATGGTAGCTCCTCTTCCCGTTGGATTCTAACTTAAAACAACGAAAGGAACACATTAATGTCATAAAACATATGTCTAAAATGTTCTCTTGCAATGAAACCACAGCAAAATTCTGCGTTAATACTGAAAAGCATCCACTCAAATCTTTTCTAACCTATTAATTTATTTTGTAACGGTCATTATCAAGTAAAATAAAATTACATTAAGTCCCCTAAACGTCCCGAATGACCGCTGACCGTCCTGTGAACGTCCCCGTGAACGTCAAGGGGACCCTACACGCTGACGTTCGGAAGACGTTCGCAAAAGGCCATTTAGGGGACGTTCTGGGGACCTTTATTTGTTAGCTGGTATATTGGCGTGAACAGTCACTCAAACCTTAAATCTGTTAAAGTTGTGTAGCCTAGCCCGTGTGTAAATGCAAATGTCATTCTCGATGTCTGCACGTGAGCTCATTAAGCTGAATTTCCATAACGACTTTGTCACACGTGCTTATACATCTTAAGCCTCATGAAAGCCTACGAAATATACCCTTTACTGTGACATCAAGTAAGGCAAGCTGTCTTATGACACTGGCTGATTTTTTTTTAATGATCTTTGATGTTCTTATGCTTATTGTATGCAGCGTAAAGACACTGAAGTGTATGTAACTTTTGGCATTCGATTACACGCGCATTTGCGCTTTTCATATGGCACAATAATGGGTGACATTAGCGTGAACACTCAAACCTTAAAGTGGGAAAATGCTTATACATCTTAAGCCTAATGAAAGCCTACGAAATATACCCTTTACTGTGACATCAAGTAAGGCAAGCTGTTTTATGACATTGGCTGATTTTTTTTTAATGATCTTTGATGTTCTTATGCTTATTGTATGCAGCGTAAAGACACTGAAGTGTATGTAACTTTTGGCATTCGATTACACGCGCATTTGTGCTTTTCATATGGCACAATAATGGGTGACATTAGCGTGAACACTCAAACCTTAAAGTGGGAAAATCTAGTTGTGTAGCCTAGCCTATGTGTAAATCCAAACGTCATTCTCGATGTCTGCACGTGAGCTCATTAAAATTAATTTCCATAACGACTTTGTCACACGCGCTTATATCTTAATGGCTTCCATAATATGGGGGAAAATACTATGGAAGTCAATGGGGTCCAGAAACTGTTTGATTACCAGCATTCTTCAAAATATCATATTTTGTGTTGAGCACAAGAAAGTAAATCATGGGTAATTCCATGCAAAAGTCAACTTTACCATAAAAAAAATAATTTTTTTACAGAGGGGCTTGGCTGAATCATTGATTGCTGCATTGTTTCAACTGCTGATGTAATGTTGTTTTGGATTTGGTCCAGTTTCAACATGACTCTTCTTTCTAAATTCTCAAATAACTTGTAGATTTCTGTGCAGAATTTATTTTGAAACATAAATGACATTACAAACTACAGCAATAAAAAATACCACTGCCATAAGACAACATAAGTCTGCCATAAGAAAACATAATAATTGAATAGATTGTGGATTAATCACACTTCCTAAAACAAGTCACAAAAACATTTAGCCAGATAATGAATACATTATGTGTGTGTGTGTGTGTGTGTTTTAGTGTACCTTGACTCTGCCAGTTGGCAGAAACTGACTGATGTGGCTGCAGTTGTGGTGTTGAAAGAGATGGAACTGTAATCACATTACAAAAATAAATAAATCATTAAATAAAACAATTCATGACCTATTGTTAGTCCAACTGTCACACTCTTGAGCTGTACAGCCAGAAAAACAATATTATTAGCATGTTGTTTAAATCATGACAAAATATCTTTAAAAACAAGAATATGTTTTATGTAACAATAATTATTAGAGTTTTGGATGTTTTTAATGAAATATTTTTATGTTGTAGTAATCAACATTATAACACAAATATGGCAGACTGACTTTAACCTTGAATATTCCCTTAATTCCATTATTTTACTCACACCAAGGTGCCGCAGGCAAAATCACATTAGATCCTTTTTTTTTACTGGTTGCTCCTCATCTAAAAAAAAAAATATATATATATATCAGTACAATTTCAGACTATAGCAAGCAAATGAAAGTGAATCATAGTAACTTTACCTTCATCAGGCTCCCCAGCTGAAAACAAAACAAAACAAAATATTAGCAGGGACTTTTTGACATTTCTTAAAAGAGTAGTTCACCCAAAAAAGAAGATTCTGTCATCATCCTCACCCTCGAGTTGTTCCAACCCTGTATAAATATATTTGTTCTGCTGAACACAAAGGGTTACAGACATTCTTCAAAATATCTTCCTTTGTGTTCAGCAGAACAAATATATTTATACAGGGTTGGAGCAACTCGAGGGTGAGGATGATGATCATTTTTGGGTGAACTATCCCTTTAATGTTATGGCCTTCATTAATCATTTTGGCACAACATAGAAAGACGATTCCATTTTAGATTATCATCAACAGTTGATTACTTTTAGTTAACTTACTACTTACACTTAGATGCAATTGCTGTTGATCTTGGCCATTTGTTTATTTTCTTTACTCTCAAACTGGAAATCTCATCTTCAGGGCCAAACGCAGCAGGGCAATAAATAGTATTTTATGTCAGTTAGAAACATATGCTAGATGGTACTGTTCTGAATAATTTATTCCCACTGTTTAACCTTGCATTAAATAAAGAATACAATTACATAATAATGATTTCACCTTGGGATGATTCACCGTCCTCAAGAACTGTAAAACAAAATTAGCATTTAAAGAAGACAGCATAGACATATATATGCATTTTGGCTTTCCTTGATCATTGATGTATACTTACATTGTTTTGTCTGTGGTGTCTTTCTAGGTTTGGTGGGCTGAAGTTCTTCTTCTGCAAGAAACAAAAGTTACAACTGCAATTGTCTTTCAGTGTGAAAACTTTAACTTATTTACAGTGTCAGCACAGATTTTATACCTCTAAATCTTCTTGGTGGTATATTGTTTCGTGAAATATTTCCATCCGAGTCCTCAACATGGGAAGTTTCAACTGCTTTTTGGGCCCGATGCCTTGCTAGGTTGTAACTGTCTGTTCTCAAAAATAGTACAAATTTAGTTGAATAAATCTTATATAAATAATTAATATTTTAGGAATGGTTGCTAGTAGTTGATGAGATTAAAAAATAATCTTGGTATTATACTTTACCTGTGTCAGAAAATACTCTGACGGCATGTTTTGTCCAGAGATGTTTGTCTGGAATGACACATTTTATGACTTTGGTCCCAACATTTGAATTGGGCCAATAGCAGAACAGTACCTTTCAGACAGAGACAAGGATGCTTGCTTAATGTTTTCTACGTATATAGTTGACCATGATTAATGTATATCATTTATGCTTTATAAAAACATATATGGACTAAATCCTACCCCATCGACCCTTTCGAGCCACGAAGATGGTGCCACCTCAACCTCATTTTGCTCAATGAAATTGAGTATTACATAGCGAAGATACACCTGTAAGTGAAGTTTAGATAAATCTGTAAGTTCAGCTTGCAATACACAAATGAAACGTACACAATTACCTATTGATAGGCAATCATTGGTTACTTTCTCTAACCTTATACTTAATTTATGTTTACCAGTGTTGGTTCTTGTTGTACTAGAAACATCTAGGTTTTCAAAAAAGAATGGGACTGGAGAGCGGCGACGACTCAGGGGCAAAGCTTCAGGACCCAGAAACTCAGGGGTAAAGCCGAAGCAGTTAGACACACAGGGGACAAAGCTTCAGGAGGCAGAAACTCAGGGGTAAAGCCGAAGCAGTTAGACACACAGGGGACAAAGCTTCAGGAGGCAGAGACTCAGGGGCAAAGCTTCAGGACCCAGAAACTCAGGGGTAAAGCCGAAGCAGTTAGACACACAGGGGACAAAGCTTCAGGAGGCAGAGACTCAGGGGTGAAGCTGAAGGATGTAGAGACTCAGGGAGCAAAGGAATACTTCAAGTATGTAATTTCACCCAAATTGTCATTCTCTTGTCATTTTATTATTTTATTGTTATTTTTGGTAATTTTATTTTTTGTCACAACCTCTTGTTCTGACACCACCTCGCAAAATTGTTCAGGGCCTAACAAAAAAAAGGCATTGTTTGGGCACTTGAATGACAAGTTTTCCTTGATTTCTATCTTGGACTTGGATGTTTCCTCAAGATGATTTGCAACTTGTGCCAAAACATTTTTTCCAGATCTAACCAATTTTTTCATTTGATGAAGATAGCTCTCGAACTTGAAAGCACTGCAGCTGTCAAGGCTGCCAAAGTTTTGGGCATCTTCTGCAAGGTGCAGCAAGGAATGGACATTGTACACCAAAAATGTTTCGCCATACAGCTCCCGTGCTCTCTCTACAAAATACTTAAGCAGCTGGTTTGCATAAGATCCGTGTGATTTTGTGAGGTCAGGATTCACTTTCACCCAAATTGTCATTCTCTTGTCATTTTATTATTTTATTGTTATTTTTGGTAATTTTATTTTTTGTCACAACCTCTTGTTCTGACACCACCTCGCAAAATTGTTCAGGGCCTAACAAAAAAAGGCATTGTTTGGGCACTTGAATGACATCAAGTTTTCCTTGATTTCTATCTTGGACTTGGATGTTTCCTCAAGATGATTTGCAACTTGTGCCAAAACATTTTTTCCAGATCTAACCAATTTTTTCATTTGATGAAGATAGCTCTCGAACTTGAAAGCACTGAAGCTGTCAAGGCTGCCAAAGTTTTGGGCATCTTCTGCAAGGTGCAGCAAGGAATGGACATTGTACACCAAAAATGTTTCGCCATACAGCTCCCGTGCTCTCTCTACAAAATACTTAAGCAGCTGGTACCCGTCCTCTCTCTACAAAATACTTAAGCAGCTGGTTTGCATAAGATCCGT